CCTACAATATTTCTTAAATACCAAAAAAATATTATCCACAACCTCATAGTTGATTTTCCCATGTTATCATTTATGAAACTTCCATTGTTTCTGCATGTGGAGGTTATTAGAATTTAATTGTATAGAGCAGAATAAAGGACAGTTTCTCTGTCACTAGTTCTGCCAGTTCTTCCTATCTGCTCTCACATTCTCTCTGATTTTCACAAAAATAACATAGAGCAGCACTTTTGAAATATACTTTGAAAGGCATCATATCTTCTGATTATTTTCCACTTTGATTTATTTTGAATATGCATAGGTAAGATAAAAAGGTTTTGAATCATGTATTTGTGAAACCACATAAACTTGTATCCTTCCTTAAGCCCAAACCCCTAGTGCACATCCCTGAAAAGGGAGAAAGGCTAATTTTGTTTTCTAATAGAGCTGTACCAAATAACTCTCCTAGGCAATCATACTGACAACAAACAATAAAGAACCTGTCATAAAATAACATGTTTTTATGGTATGCTGCCAGGAAACTGAGCTTTGCAGTGGGATAAATGGCACCATCCTAAAATATGGGCACAAAGGAGAATAGGAAATACGGGATTTATTGCTTTAAAATCAAACTAACAATGTATTACAGCAGTGCGCTGGGAAAAAATATAAAATGCTCTGAGCCCACTAAATAACCATGAATGATGAGAAGGTGTTTGAGTTGTAGATCACGTGAGCAGCTATACTGCGAGCTTTATGAACACCTCTTGAAATTGGTTTCCTTTTCCAATTTAGAAAAAGGGAAAGAGACACAAGATAGGATAGATAGGGGGAAATCACAAGCAAGTACAATATAAAAGAGTCTTTTAGCATTTGTGCTCCATCAAATGTTGTTTCCAATTGCATTTTTTGTTATGCAGTTCTTAAGGCTACCTTTTGACATCTGTAAATAACTTTAGAAGGGATGTTTGCTTTTGATGTATTTACTAAAGAAAAGCCCGTGTTGATCCTGAAAAATGTATTCAATTAATCCAGAGTGTCAAAGATCAGAATGAATCTAATTTCATGAAGAAAAATGGAAAAATACAGTGTTCCTAATTGTTTTCTTATGTTTTGGGCACACTTCACTTTAATTTAAAATTTCTCAGACATCAATATTGAATATTTGCTCTCTCCAAATGGAGACAAGGGTCCTCTATAAGTATACTTTAACCACCCAGAATATATGGATACTACTATTCATCACTCTCTAAGTCTTCTGAGGGACCTGTGGTCACTGTTGATCTTCAGTAATGGCCAGCAACTTCAGATTTCAGTCAGTTGGTGAGAAATCAAAACATAAAACAAGAATAAAACCAAGGCTTAAGGACAAGTTGTGGGCACTTGGGCTTTGTCTGAGGATTTATATGAGTATTTGATTATTCTTAGTCTTAAAATGTAAGGAGCAGTGTGGGAAGACTAATAATATTTGAAAAAGGAAGAATGATCAGTGTGAGAATTCCCAAATGGGAGTCTCTTTGCCTACAACACTGGACTCTGTCTTCTCCTGGATAATACTTATTCATCCGCAGGGTTCCTCTAGATATCACTTTCTACAGCAAATATGCTTGACGTCTACTCTCATGCCTCCTGGCCTAATCTGAGTGAGGAACTTTTTCCCAGTGTCTCTCCATTCACTATCATGGCCCTTATCATATGTTGTACTGTCATTGTTTACTTATCTCAACCCATCACCCTCAAGAGACTGAACTGAAGAAGACAAGATCCATGATTTATTTAAGTTTGTATAGCCAGTATATAGGCACATGATAAAAGTTTACTAAATTAATAAACAAGTACATGTCTGAGAACATATTTTATACTGTACAATCCTCCTTCTTTAAGAAAGAAACATTTATTTGTTCGTCCCACAAAGTAAATTCTGAAAAATTTATGCAAATCACAAATGCTTCTAAAATGAAAGTGAGGAAATGCTTTATAAGGAACAATATGTGGTTATGCATTTTTCCTTTTCTCAAAGGAAAGTTAGTTGGCACAGCAGAAAATAGGTAGATTATATTTTGTGCCTAACATGGTTTTTTACAAGTCAAGAAGCCCACTTGAGGTCACATCTTCAACTGAGAAATGGAGATAATCCTATCTGTGCTTGCTATCTTATAAAATTGTTGCAAGGATAAAATAGGTTAGTGGCAATGAAAGCATTTTGGAAACTTTAAATTGGCATATTAAGGGTATCAGGGTGCTTAAAAAGCATAAATGGGCTTTTCTTACATAGAATTTTCTATTTGTCTAATATAGAGTAAAAATTGAGGAATACATTTTGGTGACAAGTTTGAGTTTGACATTGTCACTGTCAGTCCTTGGATGTAAGTAGGATTTTTTTTTTTTTTTTTTTTTTTTTTGCCCTGTAACTCTGACCTGTTTTAGCTATTATTACCACCACCACTACTCAATCACCAAATATGAAACTTTAATGAAGCTTTAGGTTCAAGTCTTTTTTGTCTTTCCTTGTGGGAAAGTCAGAATTCAGTGTAAAGGAAAAAAATTTTCATGCCTCTTTCAATTACTTTTAACATTGGTTACAGTGTACTGACTTTGAAAAGCTCCTTGGTGAACCAGAAGCAAAATATAATACCAGCCGCCAGTTCTTTGTTGTGTGCCTGCACATGGCCGAATAAAATAGAGGGTAACTGGTCCTAACTGGTCTCCACTGTGATATGAGACTACGCTTGGCAGAAAAACTACCATCAGCTGTAACATTATTGGCTACACTATGATGTACTGGAGTAAGATTGAGACTTTGCCACTCTGGCAATCAAAGAGTTTAATAATACCCTAGCATCCAGAATTATAATGGTTTGAAATGTTTTTCAAGGGATGGATTAAATGGGCGATAGGCATTAAGGAGGGCACTGGTTGTGATGAGCATTGGGTGTTACATGTAGGTGATGAATCACTAAATTCTACACCTGAAACGGCTATTACCCTGTATGTTAACTAACTAAAATTTAAATAAAGACTTGAGACTACAAAAACAAATGAAATGTTATTCAAGGCCAATGAATCAATCAATTTTGCAAGCACTTGATTGATGTTCATTGTAGTAAAGAAGCACCTTAAGGTCTCCCCACCCTTACCCATGGTCCAGAAATGACACAGGTGTTGCAGACATTTGGAGTTGCCTGCAAACTAATCCCAATCTCATACCACTGCAACAATATTGCTTCACAAAATTTCAAGATGGCACGATAGCGGTCCCATTGGCTTTTTAACCCAGTCACTTGAGGTGTGATAACTCATTAGTTGAAGAAATACTTTCTCAAGTGTCTACAAGTCAGAGCGGTAATATGGCAGTTACAAATTGCTTCCTGTCCATCACAGAATATAGAAATTTCACACTACCCTTCACACTAATCACAATTCTTCTCTTGAAAATAAGCTATTTGAACAATTCCATTACTGAGTGCCTGATAACCTTTTTTTCTTTGGAGAAGTACACAGAGACAATTCAGAATCACTGTATCACCCCTGCTACATGCCATGATATGAGTTTTGTGACTAGAATTTAACAGCTCCAATTGAGAGAGAATGTTGGCCTCAACAGTTTATTTATTAAGCTCTAAATTCTTTAGTTCCTCCCCCCCAGAGAACACTTATCACCTAAGATGTATTTTTAAATCCCTCTAATAATATTATAAAATATCCTTTTAAAGGATTGTTCAATAAAAGTTTAACAATTTAAAATGATAGAACTGTATGGTATTAGTTGGCATAATTACTCTGTCATTATATAATTCCTTACCTTTATATCCATGGAACCCTACAGTAAAATCATGAATAGAGCTCTAAAATCCTTTACTTTTATGTCATACAAGACTTACTAAGTAAATATTGTACCATCTATACGCTTTTTATTCTTGTTGATCAGACACCATACGGCTTCCTAACCTTATCTCTCATACCCTGCAGTTAGTATCTTCCACCCCCTTCCCTTCATCACACACACACACACACACACACACACACACAATGGGCCCACTTACTTTCCACTTCCTTTTCATTTGATGCTCTTTCCCTCAGCTGAATACATTTTTGCCAGTTCAAATCCTTCCATTTCAAGGTTCATTGTGTTCAAGAAGCACAAAATTCTTGGGGTGCCTTGGTGGCTCAGTCGGTTAAGTGTCTGACTCTTAGTTTCAGCTCACGTCATGATCTCATGGTTTCATGAGTTCAAACCCCATGTCGGGCTCCGTGCTGACGGTCCCAAACTGGCTTGGGATTCTCTGTCTCCCTTTATCTCTGCCCCTCCCCCACTTTTGCTGTCTCTGTCTCTCTCAAAAGAAATGAATAAACTTGAAAAAATTTTTAAAAAGAAGCACAGAATTCTTGACTAACTAAATCCACCATTCATCTTAACCTGACTTTGATATTCTCATTAGTTGTTTATATACAGGGTGTACCACACCAGTATTTGCTTCTCTTACATTGCTTCTGAAGGATTCTGGGAGCTCCAGGGGGGCATGTCACATCATCCAAGTAAACTTGAAGCCCCTTAAGACCAGGAACCAATTCCTTGAGACTTTCTCTGATTTCCCATTCCATTTGGGATGTGCTCTACTCAAAACAGGCACTTAAGGCTTTTTGAGTAAGTGCTTGAGTGAATTTTAAAAATGAATAACTCGGGGAGCCTGGGTGGCTCAGTCGGTTAAGTGTCAGACTCTTGATTTTGGCTCAGGTCAGGATCTGACAGTTTGTGATATTGAGCCCTGAGTCAGATACCACATTGGCAGTGCTGAGCCCTACTTGGGATTCTCTCTCTCTCTCTCTCTCTCTCTCTCTCTCTGCCCCTCCCCTGCCTCACACTCTCTCTCTCTGTCTCTTTCTTGCAAAAGTAAACGTTTTAAAAAAGCGAATAACTGTTCATTGCTTAAGACATTCAAATGATTGTCAAAGATATCTGAAGTGTTAGTTTTTAGCTATCTAGTTTTGTTTTAATCTACCATAGTGTATGACTTCATACTTACCGGAACAGAAACTTGAGGATTATCCACAAGTTTTCCTAGCACAGCAAAGCCATCGATGCTGATTTGGCCTCTTGGCTTTATAGGTAAGGATTCAATCCTGTTGCAATCAACAAAAAGAGTAGCACTACTCCTTTCCACACCGATCATGATCTTATGCCACTGGGAATCAAACAAGGAAGGCAAATTTGAAAAGGTTGCAGTTTGGAGACTTCCATCCAGTCCCTTGTATGAAAATGCAACAGATTTGGTTTGGCCATTAATCTTCACACCAACTTGCTCCTTCCCTGAGGAATCCTGAATCTGCCAAATGCTCCAGTTCTTTTCAAGTGTGCTTCCAGTCATCCGGAAAGTAGTTAAAAAGGAGTATTCTTCAGGCAGACCACTGGGATATAAATGCCTGAGCAAAATTTTAAAACAGTAAATAAAACTCTTGTTTTCTGTACCCATGCATATTACCATATTCTCTTATTATGCTATTTTTAGATTCTAGACCTACAGAAAGGCTACAGTGTGAAAAACTATGTACCGTTTGTTCTTTCATGAACTTCACAGAAGCTCCATCATTCATGTACACTAATGCTCCATCCTAAAATACACATTAGAAAAAACAAACCCTTCCTCATAGCTAAGGAGGGTTCCCAATGCCACATACCCCCAACAGTATTACTATTTATGCTACCTAAAGAGCTCCTGTTCAGCAATTCCATCTCAGCCAAAAAACATATTCTTGCAAGGTTCCTGGCAGCATTTCTTCCACAAATTAAAGAAGAGATCATTTGGAATCTACACAGCTCTACTAGTTGATAAAACCATTTCATTAAAGCAGCTTTTAAATTTTTTATTTTAATGTAGCATGTTGTTAGGATTATTTGTTATGTCCATAATTGCTCCCATAAGTCCCCTCCACAATTATATCCTAGACCCACATATGCGTTCTGAGAATCAGTAACTGTGCAGACTTGAGAAGCTCCTTCACACTGAGCACATTAGTCTTTTTTCCAGGGAATTCAAATCATAACGTTAAAGTAGCAGCAGGTTGCTTGTTGCTGTATGTATGACAAGGGAAAGGTGGCCAGTTCTTAATTCTCTACTCCAGCCCAGTTGTTCCACAGTCTGACAACTAAGTCTGTATTGTTTCTCCTTTTATTGCTTTTTAAAAATGTTTATTTATTGCTGATAGAGAGACAGAGTGCACAGAGAGAGAGGGAGACACAGTATCCGAAGCAGGCTCCAGGCTCTGAGCTGTCAGCACAGAGCCCCACGCAGGGCTCTAACTCATGGACCATGAGATCATGACCCGAGCTGAAGTCGGATGCTTAACTGACCGAGCCACGCGGGGCACCCCTGACCCTACTTTTATTGCTTTAAATGGCAACATAAGACTGTCAGTGTCCCTAAGGCAGCTCCAGTCTATGTGGAAACTGTGATCTGGAGCAGCAATAACTACCTGGATCTTCTTTTGTTGAAGCCAAGCTGCTAAAAGCAGAAGGCTGCAATTTTAAAAAATTAGAACCTATTAAATGTAAGCATCATCTCTCACAGGCTTGAAGGTTATAGTTTTCTTTTTTTTTTTAGTTTATTTATTTATTTTGAGAGAGACAGAGACAGCGTGAGCAAGGTGAGGTAGATAGAGAGGGAGACAGAGAGAGAATCCCTAGCAGGTTCCCCACTCTCAGCACAGAGCCTAATGTTGGGCTTGAACTCATGAAACTGAGATCATGGCCTAAGCTGAAAGCAAGAGTCAGATACTTAACCGACTGAGCCACCTGGGCTCCCCTAAGGTTGTATTTTTCTACCTTTCTCCTCAGTATAGAAAAATTCCTAAGTAAGGAAGGAATGCTAGGAAAACTAGATGCTGTTCATTTTGGTTGCTAAATAATAAGATTTGACATTTCTGAGAAGAGTTATGGACAGGACTCAAAGTCCCAAATCACCTTCCTTCAGGTCATACTCCTGTTAAATAGCCCTCTCTTGTGAAAAGTAAAAAAGAGAAAGGCAAGAAGAAATAGCTAAGTGGATGTTGATTTAATTTGCCAGTTGCATTAAAATAGGTTGTTAGGGGTCAAGAATTTCTAAACCAAAAATTTCTTCAGTTGCAAGAATGTTTAACAATAGGTGAAATACTCAACTTGCTAAGATTTTCTCTTTACTTTGACTTTACAAAATTTTATCATCCCTTACAATAGCATGAACAAACACATAACTCTTTACTACACATATTTTTGCACACCTTCAATAAAATGGGTCAACTATGTCAACAAATTTCATCACCTTTTTTTAAAAGCTGGTTTTATAAAAATAACAAAAATATGAAGTTTTTCATCTGAATACCCTTTTAGCATCAAAATACTTCTTTTAATCATTGTGTTCTAAAATGACTTTAATTTTTATTTATAATACTGGGCGAATTCCTTTATTAGTACACATTCTTAAGTGATCGCTAGTGATATGTGTTATACTTATTGCAAAGTTTTCAATTTATTAAATGTTTGTCAAGTATACAGGAGGTTTTAACATGTACATTTAAAAAAGATTCAGTTTGGAGCTAAGGAAATAAAAAGTGTGTGCAAGGACAATTTCCCCAGAATGAACATGTCTACCATATCTATTTTGATATTTACTTTTAATATAGATTCTATTTGACATATTTCCCTTTCACTATAAATTTTTCAGGATATACACACTGCAGACTAACTTCTAGAGAAGAGGCTAAGGTTTACTGATGACAGTATAATATATTGCCTACTGTATAATTATAAAACCGCATAGAAGTTTATACAGTTCATTTAACTGATCTCAATTAATTTGGAGTTGGGAGATAAGTTTTAAAAGTTTCACAGAATGGCGAAATTTGATAAGCATCCATTTAAATTATGAATATGTTATTTTCATATTCTTTTTACTTAATGATCTGGATTTAACCAGATGCTTAAAGAATTTATTTTTCTTTTTTGTCCTATATAGTTATTGTTGAGGTATGAGGCTTTCACAGAAGGAAGATAAATCTTAATATTTTGTCCTCTTCTCTCCGTAAAGCATTCTTTTCCTAGATTTTTGTAAATGTATTTTACCAATGTATTAGTTTACAGATGTACCAAACAAGGCTATAGAATTTTATCAGTCCCTAGATAAAATAAGTCTATTTTGCTTTGGTTCCACAAGTTGCAGTAACTTGTTTAAGTGACTTTTTTGCAAAGATATCATGAGGTTGACTGAGGGATCTCTCCCAATTTATGCTTTATCTCATCTTTCCTGCTTAATGAGGAAAGAGATTATGTTGAAGGTAGACTAGAACAGAATGTCCCCATTTACCTCTGACTTGGTGAGGTAATGCCAAAAACTTTTTTTTAAAAATGAGTTTGTGAGTAAGGTTGCTAGAAGAACAATTCTTTTATAGACACATTGTTAAATCAAGTGTATCCATCAGCTCTCTTTCTTCATATACACAAAGATTATGTATATGTGTGTGTGTTCATGTAAGTATACAAGCATAATCAAGATTATCATGTTATTAATCTTTTAAACAGGCTAATACAAAATGTCAATATGATAAGAGGAGAAAATTCCTTTCGGTGTTCAAATTAATAAAATATATATGTATATGTATATGTATACTTAAGACCTTTTCAAAGTCCTCACATGTCTAATTTATATAGCAGCCCGTACTATTGTCTTTTTTGAACACCTGAGATTCTGCTCTTGCAAATATGCTATGCACATCAATAAATAAACTTGACAGCATACATAATGTAGAAGAAGCTGGATCTATAAATGATTTATTTCATTATGTTACAATCTGCACAGAGTACCTTAAAAAGAAGAACTGTATGGGTTTAAATAAAAGATAAGAAGGCTTTAGACCTTGAAGCGTTTGTTTATGACCCTAACCCATGTAAGAATTGTGTTTGTTAAGGTAAACAAACACAAAATGTTTGTAAGTCTGAGTTGAGACTGTGATACTATTATGTATAAAATAAAGAATAAAAAGCAGCAAAAAAAACTATTCTCATAATCTTCCAAAAATATTGAGAAGATAAAGGTGAATTGTGACTCTATCACATAAGTTTTTTATGTCATACTCTTACTCCCCTCCCACACAAATTCTGTTAAGGTTTTCTTTTCATTCCCTCAGAACCTATATTCTTCAGCATAGAAATTTCCTTTAAACCAAGACAGTCTACTCCCTGCCTGGTCTGAGAGCAATTCCAGTTCCTGCCTTTCTTGCCATCTGGTTTTTGAATGAATAGGACTAGGAGGGCAGCTTGAAAAGAAAGAATCCACTAAGGAGAAAAGGTTCCCATATACACACTTTCTCCTGGTGCTCTCCACTAGTTAGAATAAATACTCAACTAATACCACTGTGTGCCAACCTCTATCCAACCCTCTCCATTTATTAACAATTTGCTCCTCATGGCAAATCTATGACACTGTTATTTTTATTCCTAATTTATGCTGAAGGGACTGAAACAAAGACCGTGTAAGCAATTTGCCCCCAAATACACTTTATTACCTATTTGAGACTCAGCCCTCTGGCTCTCCCCTCCTTCTCTTTTCTATTTCTTTCTACTTCCTGCCTAATTCTTTTTTCAACTTTTAATAAGCTTTACCAGTAAAACAGAATTTTTAGACTTTGTGGAGGCAGGGGTCAAGGAAATAGAGAATATGAGACATTGGTTATATCCTGTAAAAAATATTTAGTGACGGGGTGCCTGGGTGGCTCAGTCAGTTGGGGGACCGACTTCAACTCAGGTCATGTTCTCACGGTTCGTGGTTCGAGCCCCAGGTCAGGCTCTGTGCTGACAGCTCAGAGCCTGGAGCCTCCTTCTGATTCTGTGTCTCCCTCTCTCTGGCCCTCCCCCGCTCACGCTCTGTGTCACTCTCTCTCTCAAAAATAAAATTAAAAAAGATTAAAAAAATTTTTTTAAAATATTTAGTGATAGCTCTAAGCACTTAGAGAAGAGCAACAGCAAAGATGAGTAGGAGGTGGGTGTTTATGTGGCTTCAAGTTGGTCAGTCTCTGAACTTTGAGTTACTTAATGGCAATCCAGATTGTACTTCAAATTACAGAGGAGAGAATTAGGTCCAGCATTGGCAGGGGGGGATGTCTTCCATCACGTTTATTTTATTAAAGAAAGAAAAAAATGTTTTTAAAGATATTTAAGGGCACTAGCACTTGTGTACATGCAAAGAAAATACAAGCAAAAATAAAAAAAGTCAGTATCTGTTATCATGCCCTGTGAGTAATTTTCCAGCATCAGTACGGAGTAGTGGTTGAAGAACCATTCTGACTGAATTTCAGTGGTTCCAGCATCTCCCACCCCTGGAACCTCATGTAAGTACCTTAAGCTTTCTGGGCTCACTCCCCTCCCTCATCAAATGTGGATAATAATGTCTTTACCACAGGGTTGTGATCAGGATGAGATTTAATGTTAATTAGTAAATTTATAGAAAGAGCTGATACAATGCACTATTGTCATTTTATAAAACGTAGCTCATATTTAGAAAAAAATAAAATGCAGTTCGTATGTTGAAGACATGAATTTCTATCTACAGTCTAGCACTGTATCAGAATATTCTAATTTGAACAAAATTTTCATTATTATAAACATTTAGAGCTTTTATAATATTCTTTTACTGTTCTAATTAATCATTGTTTACTTTTACAGCTTAATTTTTTTATCAAAGCCTTAGTTTTCTTGTTCATCTATCAAAGGAATCTTAATTTCAATTTTTTGCAGTACACTGAAACATACAATGATTATGATAACTACATATAAGGTATTTAGGTGATATAAAACTGAAATCCTAAAGCTCCTTCATAACAATGGCATGACTCAACACATATACAAACTGAAGCGCCACGCTTATCAATAATTTAAAGGATAAAAAATATAGTTCTAGAGACGGAGGTAAATGAAGTGGAGGATTTTTAACTTATTATCACTACCATTACTTCAGTTGTCATTATTCTAGTTTTGCTTTTGTTTGATTCCTGCCAGGAGCAAGGCAGTAGATGTGTGGTCAATTTCAGCACCAGGATGCTTGAACAGCACCATTGTGAGTCTTCTAACCACTCCGTGGTTCCTAGTTAAATTTATGCTTAACCCCTGGCACTTTTCACAGAGGGTCCTTTCAGCCAAAACCAGACAAATTATACAAAAACAGAGAGCAAAGTAATAAGAACATGTCCTGAATCAATGTATAATGGTCCCAGTGATTTTTTTTTCTCCTTGGAATGAAAAGCAAATCACATACTGAAAACATGAAGCGCATTCATATATTTAGACACTAAAGATAGGTAAATAAATTCCTTCGTCTTAAAAAAAAAATCATGATCTAAGAAGCATTGAACCTAAGAAGCATTGAAGATTCTCTAACATTGGGCAGCTTTTCATTTTTTAAAATGCATTTTAGGCAGATAATTAGATAAAATATTTTTATATACCTTGTTGGAATCCTGAAGTCTACATTATTTCCCAATTTGTAAGCCACTTGTAATGCCGTTGATCCCACTACCCTCTGAATAGCTCTTCTAGATGCTGCTTTATCTACCTGGAACTGAGAAATCAAGTCAAACCCTACAGAAAGGGGACACAAAATAAAAAGTCTAAAGTGAGATCGGTTATATTTTCCTTTCCACAACCTTCCCAAATAAAAGAATATATCAGGTAGGTTTGTAGAAAGCATGCGTTTTCAATAGAATACATGGCTACTTGCCTGGTAAATCATCTTGGCCAATCCTAACCTTTGGACAGAGTTCATTTCCACCATTAGAGTTTGAATTAACAGGGAACCCTGCAAAAGAGACAGCATGTTATCTTACCCCAACCCCTACAGAGATCATGAAAATAGATCAATAATAATAAGAGCTGAAAAACTATTTAAAGGAGAATAGTATACCAAACACCTTGCCTATAGTGTATTTGGCTTTAATTACTTTGTCTCTAGGATTATAATTCATTCATCTTCAACTCATCCTGGAAGGGAAGCAAGGTGCAAAGTTGTTTTAGTAGTCTGTACTGGGAAAGTATTCCTTTGGGGAAAATTAGGAATTTGTTCCTTTTGGAACCAGAGCAGCACAATGTTCTGAATGGCACAGTGTCAGATGCCTGTTTGGAAAACTTCTCGTGCGTTGGGCTAGAAAATATTCCTTAAACACCACAAATTTTAGAATTCCTAGGAGAATCCAGAGCCAGCCTTGAGCCCGTTCAGTGGGACTTCTGGAGAGTGGAGTTCTTAAGAATCTTTGTTAAATAGAGGAGGAGTTTGGGGGGGAGACTTGGGATTCACTAATCCAAAATAAAATATATAGGATGCTTTTAATTTTACAGATTCATTCCAAGAGATCAAAAAAGCATTCCAACTAGGCTATTGTTAGCATCTGAGAGTGGGGAAATGTAATGAGAAAAAAAGAACCATGAAAATGATTAAACGCTTAATTCGATGAGAAATCCTGATATTAAATTGGATGCTTCTTACACAGGTAGAAGGTTGCAGGGAGAAAGCTTGTTTAAGAAGGCTTTTTGTGACTGTCTAACTCCAGCACCCTGATGAGCACCCTGTTGTCACCCTGACAACAGTGACTTCCTAAACTTCAGAAAAAGCATTTTCCAGCTACAAGTTTTGGCCCAGCCATCCCAGTACATCAAACACACTCTTTACACCTCCCGCGACCCCGGGTCATTCATCCATCCATTCATCCATCTGTCCGCCCATCCAACATCACCAATCACCATATGAACCAAGTAGGCACTGTGGAAAGCACTGGAGTACACAGATTGGCTTTCCTGCTGACTGTGATTGCAGCCAGGACTTCTCTTCCATACCCATCACTGACCACATAAAACCAGCCATGGAGTAAACCATGGCTAAAGCAGGATTGAAGAGTGAGGCTGTGAAGGACCATGGATACTTCATTCCATCCTCTCTCAGCCACAGCCCTGTCTGATCATTTCTGCAAACAAGTGATTTTTTCAAAATCCAGAAACTGTGACCCTTACTTGGGCGACGCTTGACAACTGCAGATGCCCAAGATCCCAGGAAACTGCAGACAAAGAAGAAAACTGGAATTTTCCTGAAGAGGAGAAAAGAAAAATGACTCAAACAGGAGTCCCTCCAGACTTAAATATTTTGAAATATGGTAAACGTAATGTAAGTGATCAAATCTCATTACAGTTTAGTTTTTCCATTTGACATTGAAATCTTCAGAGACTTAATGAATTCTCATGTTTCTAGCTCCTACACTAAAACAATCATGAGACTGTTGTTTTTTTCTCTCTCACTTTCTCCATAGCTACCCGTCTCACTGTTTCTATATCCATTTCCTTGTCTATGTTTTCTTTCATCTTAGTTTTCCTCCCTCTTCACTTTAGTAGCTCTTTCTTTTTCTGTCTCTCCTATCTCTTATGCTTGTTCCTTTCTGCCTCATTCTCATCTGTCTTTCCCTGGCTCTCTCTGTCTGTATCTGTCTGCATCTCTCTTGCTTTCCTTTCTCCCCTCTCCCACCTCCCCTCACTTCCTCTCATCTTACCACCACTGCAGAAACACAGACCCTTGGTTTCAAGGGCCCCCAACCCAGTCTCCCCACCATTCTTTCCAGTGTCACGGTCTTACCAGAAGTTCTTCATTTCCCCTACTGGTTTTCTTTTGGGCCAACAGTCCCAGTGATGAAGGGGTTGCAGGGGGGTCAGTGCTCCCCCAAGACCCCTTCACTATCACCCCAGTACTAATGGGTTATGTGCCCAGCCTTGGTTCCTCCTGCCCTTGTAAGGGCTTAAAGCAAAGGGAGTGAACCAGAGGCATCTGGTGACACTTTAAACCACAGCAGAGGGAAGGGGTGGGGAGAGGCAGCCCTGTAAGCCCAGGCCTAGCCAGGGGTGTGTCCCCAAAACTAACAAGGTTATACTGAAGGAGGGATTAGCAAGGGAAAGTTTGCTAAAAAGAAAAAAAAAAGTCAGGATGTGGAGAAACCACCAGAAAAACTCAGGCAAGCTGCTATAGGAATACAGTGGAAGCTTTTAGAACTGCTATAGGAATACAGTGAATGCTTTTAGAGGACTGAGGTAAAGAGGGACTCACTGGAAAGCAGAGATGTGGGAACTCATGGGGGCCTTGGTTCACAGCCAACCTAGATTTGAATCTCCGTTTGTTCTGAAGCTTACTAGTTGTATTTCTGGAGGCAAGTTAGTTAATCTGTCTGTAACTCTGTTGCCTTAGGGGAAAATGGGTTGAAAATAGTTACCTAAAAATTTTTTTTTGAGAATTAAACAAGATAACAAAGCAGAGAGTCTAATGCCTAGCTATTAGAACAATCATTATTCCCCATCAACATTATCATTATAGCTAACACTTCATTCACTGTTTGCCCCCCTATGTTGAAAATGCTTGAAGCATGATAACATTTAATTCTCCTAACACTATAAAGTAAAATGAAAATTATTCCTGTTCTACAGGTAAGACAACTGAAGCACAGAAAATCAAGTAACTTGTAACTTGATCAAAGTTGCACAGCTAATTAGTTACCCGGTACATGCTAGCTCTCTGTACATCATGGCTGGAAATCTTGGTAAAATGTAACATCAAGCCCCCTAGTTTTTATTGCTTCTTAAACTCTGTAATTACCAGAGGTGAGCAGAATGTACTTGGAAATACGCAACATATTATCCTCTATAAACAAGTTGAGAGCATGTTACAAGGAGCCTAGACCTAAAGAGAAAGGTTTTTATCAGCACCATGTCCCACATACCCACCCTCTCTCTAGAACCTGAGTGCTTCAAGAGAGAACCCCCGCCCCACCCACTTAGGATGGTCTGCTTCCGGGTGGTATCAGTGTCCAATCCAAAAACAGACTTTCAGGCTCTGATGATCCAATGATCTTAATAAGTTACAATGTCTAGCATAAAGTAGTTTTATTTTCTTGAAGTTTCTTTAATTTTCAAATCAATTTAATTTTTTAATTGCAAAATAAATGGTGTTATTTTTAGTTTTTGTTGCTTCTTAAAAAAAATCCTTTCTTCTTCTTCCTTCCTCGGTTTGACAGAAATTTTGTTTGCCATGATGAGCTGAGAACCAAGTGTACTTGAACATCCACACCATTTGTCCCCCGTTCCTTTTCCACTCATGACCTGTTTCTCCGTTTGCATTGGGACATCCATCTCCTCACAATGTTTGGGGCTTTCCATAGGCCCCTGTCATTCTCCTTCCATCTATCACAATAATGATTCCCAAGGGTAGCCACTTTGGCTGAGTCATAGGATTATAAATGGCCCTAGCCTAGCTTCTTCTTGAAAGTTGACCAGGGCTTATTTAAATAGATCGGTTTATTAACCCCCAAAACCTCTAAACTTCTAATGGTAGGACTTCAGAAGAGAAAATGTGCAGCTGGAGACCTCCCTCAAATCACATGAAGTAAGGCAGCCCTAGATCCACAAGGAAAGGGGCATTTGCCAAAGGGACATTCTCCATCCACTTAGGTTCTTTATTTGTACTACAGATCTTCTAACATTATTTACTGTGGGAAACAAAAGAGGTAGATTTTCTTATGTAATTAAGTGTTTGAGAAATCCTTTTGTTAAGTGTTTTTAAGATCTCACCACAGCTTTTGTCTCCTCCTCCTCCCACTTTGAAGAACCCTCTACAGCTAGAATTACAAGGCAAATGAAGGGGGGCTTCTAATAAAATATTTCTTAAATGAGAAGAAAATAGGCTTTCTTATAAGTGGTTTGGCTTTATTCCAGCTTGGCAGTTTTATTTAAGATGATGAAGAGCAAACAACTACTCTATTAAGAAAGAACATAAATCCAGAAAAAAAGATCTCTCTCTCTCTCTCTCTCTTTCTACACACACACACACACACACACACACACACACACACACACATTTAAGGATGCTTTTTTTTTCCACCGGTATTTTCTATTTTAATCATATTTCATAACTTGACGTGAGAGTCTCACAGAGAGAAGTACAAAGCCCACACTCTGCTGGCCTGGGTCAGGTTGCACCCTAAAATCACAGACACATAAACTTTTTCATCATTAACACTGTTCCCTCACTTTACCAAACAGTTATGTTCCTGAGAAACTATGTGGAAATTAAATCTGATCAACTATGTAAAATTGTAACTGCACTAAGACAGCTTGATATTTTTAAATGATCCATTTGTAAATAGAAGTATTTTGTACAGAATAATTATGCTTTCATCCACTTTTACTCTCTCCCTCCCTCCCCTTTACTGCTCTGTACCACAAACACACACACTAATCTTTCCCTTTCTATAAATCCAGGATTTTATTTACTTACAGTTTAAATCAGGGAACATCATCACAAATAATCATCTTCCTTGATCATCTATTCTCTTTCATTTGTGTACCCAACTATTCAGCAAACACTTATTGAATGACTATACGTACTCAATATGCAACCACTCTTACCAAGCGCTAGGAGTTGGGGAGACAAAAAGCCTTGCCCTGAGGAAGCTCACAGTCTAATTAGGAAGTCCAATATGAAGATATCTGCAAAATAGTGAGGGAACAAGGCTGCGGTGTCACTGAGAACAAGTCAACTCAGTCCAGGAGCATCAGGGAATTTTTCATAAAGGAAGTGAAATTTTAAAGGAAGACTAGAAGCCTACCAAGAAAACAAGTGGGTACAGTACATTCTGGGCAGAAGAAATAGCAGGTACCATGACCAAAAAAAGTAGAAGAGAGTTTAAGAACCCCGAGTTTAGTTCAGGAACTCTTTCACTTGGTAAATATTTATTGGTGACTTTTCTACCATGAGCTCTGAACTGATCTCAACAAAGAGGCACAGCAAAGAAAGACCAAGTTCCTGCTCCATGAACCTTACAGCTGGTAGGGAGACAGATACTAAATACATTCACAAGAACAGACAAGATAATTTGAGTTGGAACTGTTATGGAAAATACACAAAAGTGGGCAATGTGTATTAGAGAATGGTAGGAGTAGGTGTAGAGACTGATCAAGATTGAGGGCTAAGGAAAGACTGACTCCTCTGAGAGGGCAAATTTTGACTCAGACTAAATGAGAATCAAGAGGTAAGACTGATAGGGTAGACTGGAGAAGGAGAGGATGGTGGGTAGAACTACTTGGTTTTCAAGCTTGAACAACTGAGTAGATGGTGATGTCATTTTCTGAAATGATAAGTAGAAGGACCATGGGGGATGTGTTGAGTAGGGAGATCTTGAAAACCTTTGAAACAGTTTGGACTTTATTCTGGCTGTTAAGGGAGCTGGATGAAGAGCATAAAGCTAACAATGACTTTTTAGAAGGTATGTCTTCAGAAAAATGGTTCTGGCATTGCTGAAGGATGGATTGAATGGATTTGACAAATCTACATGCATATACACAACTGAAACAAGTTTCAGAAGACACTATCTATCCATAGTGGGTGCACTCTATTTTCTGTTTTATTCTATTTCATTTTTTAGTGATGGTGACCAACTCAATAAATTGACTTCAGGACCAGCTAATGGGTTGCAGCCTATGGTTTTAAAAACATTATATTAGACTACAGTAGGCACCAGATATGTCAAAAGGTATCTTTCCTCTCATTTCCTGGTATGGGGCCAATAGTTGGAACACCCGTAAAAATTCATAGGGTAGTAGGAAGGGTTCCTTAGTTTTAACACAACAATATTTTTTGAAAGTATTCTTTTGAAGTGAAGTTACCATAAACTTAGATTTTTTAAAGATGCCATGTGTCCCACACTCACTTTATAGATTAAAATAAAGAAGAGTCACTTTTAAAACTAGCTTCCTAATAGTATACAGTTGTAAGCTTTCTTCTATATATCTTTTCTTTAAAAATAAAAAACTCAAGGGGCACCTGGGTGGCTCGGTTGGTAAAGCATCCGACTCTTCGTTTCAGCTCAGGTCATGACCTCAGGGTTTGTGAGTTCGAGCCCCACATCAGGCTCCATGCTGACAGTGTGGAGCCTGCTTGAGATTCTCTTTCCCTCTCTCTCTGCCCCTTCCCCCTCACTCTCTCTTTCTCTCTCTCAAAAATAAATAAACTTTAAAAAATTTTCAAAGTAATAATAAAAGAATAAAAGACTCAAATGCCTAGTGACACAGAGCAGTTGTGTGAGGAGGCTGCAAATTAGCCACAGCTAGAGCCTTGAAATTTATCAAAGAAATCTGGCTGAGAGGCTGATTAATAATCAGAGTTGCTAAAATGAGGACTCCCACAGTTTTGCATGGGGTGAAGTTTTACTGTAAAGAAATCTCACCACAATCAAAGCTCTATTTTTAATCTGCTTATTTTGGTTCTGTATTTGTAATTGTAGTCTAATAATATACAGCAAGCAAATGGAGCCCCATGATGATAGCCATTTTTCTCTGAAATCACTCACAAATAAATGTGTTTTTGCCATGGACCATTAATACAAGAATGTGTTATTTAACACAAACTCCACCCTCACCTCTAATCTTCTTGGCGTATTACTTTTGCTTTCTCTAAAATATGAACATTTCCACTTCCCCAAGGAAGAGAGAAATCAGTACCCCTCCACCACACATGTGCCTCCAGCACAAGTTGATATATTTGCTGCCTTGTGGATCTTCAATTTGTAGCAGCTGATTCAAGTCCAAAGCTTCTTTCGCTTCTTCCAATAAACCTCACATAC